TTTTGTTTGACACTGATAGGCAATGGAGGGTGTACGAAAGAAGGAAGAAGAATACTTAACATTTGCTTTTATAACCTAACTGTTTATAACAGTTAGGAAGGGCGGGAAAAGAGGTTGTATAAATAGTTTGTTTGTTTAGTTAGAAGGGGCTTTTGGAACTTTGATTGTTGACAGGCCCTTAGACCTGTGAAGGGGATTATGCCCCTGTATCTTGATTGTACAGACTATTCTTTTCTGTGAATAATACAAGTTTTCTCTCATTCTTTCCCTTATATTGGTGTGAGAGTGTGTGGAGGGTGTCCTTTGCTTAGGTCAATTTGGTCCGACCTACCGGATCCCCAATTGAGAAGGGGAAGTCACGCATGATGGAGGGAAGATTGGTGGCGGTAGAAGGATAGTTGGAAGCCGTAGAGATTGCGGTGGCAGAAATGAAGGCGGATACTGGGGTTCTGCGACATGAGACGGGGGCATTGAGGCAAGATTCTGTGGCGATGCGCTAGGATCTCCAGGCGATCTTAAGAATGTTGGGGGGTCGTAATTGCCACTAGGACGACCAACACATTGAGGGAAGTCAGTCGTCTATTAATGATAACGGGGGTAGACGAGACGAAGAGAGGGGAAGAAGAGGTGACGGGAATCAAGAAGGGAAATCCAATTGGAGGAAACGGGTTGAGTTACCCGTGTTTGAAGGAGGTGATCCTTTGAATTGGATCAATAGGGCGGAAAAAATTTTCGAAGTCCAGAGGGTGGACGAAGAAGAGAAGTTGAGCCTGGCTTTCATTAGCATGGAGGGGTATGCGGAGCATCGGTTCCGTTTTTGGAGGGAGAAAACCAAGAACAATTCTTGGGAAGGATTAAAAAGGGCGATGGTGATTCGGTTCAGAGGGGGGAATCGAGGGTCAGTTTTTGAGAGGATAGCGGCCATTAAGCAGGCGGGGACGGTGCAAGAGTACATTCGGGACTTTGAAGTTTTGGTAGGACAGATGACCCGAATTCCCGAAGAGCAACTCCTGGGTTACTTCATGGCGGGCCTTCAAGAAGAGGTTGGAGGCCCTACTTGATGGCCTTAGTCCTGGCCATACAACATTGTACGAAAGAAGGAAGAAGAATACTTAACATTTGCATTTATAACCTAACTGTTTATAACAATTAGGAAGGGCGGGAAAAGAGGTTGTATAAATAGTTCGTTTGTTTAGTTAGAAGGGGCTTTTGGAACTTTGATTGTTGACAGGCCCTTAGACCTGGGAAGGGGATTATGCCCCTGTATCTTGACTGTACAAACATTCTTTTCTGTGAATAATACAAGTTTTCTCTCATTCTTTCCCTTATGCTGGTGTGAGAGTGTGTGGAGGGTGTCCTTTGCTTAGGTTTCTTGTTCAGAAACCTATCAAACACCATGATAGCAAAATATGACAGAAAAGTTGAATGAGAATATTTTATCCTTCTTAAAATTGAAGATAAGGGTAGTTTTTAGAAAAGGCAATTGTTTAGGTGCTATTGAACCTTTGAATATTGTAGATGAAATGTGGAAAGAGATTGGTGACAATGTTGTTGTCAGTGTACACTTAGCAATGGCAGATTTGGTTTTGCCAATGTTGTGAAAAAGCAGCTTGAAGGAAATACCCTCATCAAATTGTTCCAATTATGTCACTAACAATAATTGCTTTAAAGAGAAAATTCTATGCTCTTCAAATGAATGAGTCCAAGTTAGTTTATTTGTCTAGCTTTCAACAATAGATTTGAACTTAGTGAAATATGAACGTGTGGATCTTCTAGTTCAATGCAGGTAGAGGTTGATCTATGGAACATTGGGTCTAGTGAGAGTCAAAATCATGGTAGATCAATGTCTTTAAGAAGGAAGAATCTCAAATGTTACAATCGTGACATGAGAGGGCATGCAAAGAAATATTAGTAGCACGGGAAGAATGAAGGAAAGAACTCTGAAGAAACAATCTCACATGGTTGGTTGTTTGTTCCTTGGGAGATGAAGATATTTTGGTTAGTAAATTGGCAATAATTTCTAAAGGCATAAAACAAACTTCATTATGAAGGGCCTGAAGAAAAAAATATTTTTGCAAAGTTCAAGGGGTATGACATGCGAAGAATATATTGTCCGTTAGGCAATTAGACAACCTTAGGTGGAAGATCCATATTGAATGTGAGATCTTAAAGGTGGTGCGAGAGGAATTTGGTAATGATGAAAAGCATATAACATTATGATCAATCTATACATGTTTTTGGGAGATGCATTACAAGATGCATTAGTTTGCTAAAGCAATTATTAGAAGCAAACCCACTCTGGACTAGATCCATTATGATGTACGAGAATCACCATAAGTGTCTCTAGGAGGAGCAAAATATTTTGTATTAATCATTGGTGATTACTCTAAGAGATTTTGGGTGTACCCTTTTAAGAAGAATTTTAATATGTTTCTATCATTCAAGGAGTTTGAAGAACCAGTGCAGCTTGAAACTTTTTAGAAAAATATTAAGTGTTTGAGTACAGTTGCAATAGGGGCGCCAAGAGTTGGCTATCCAAGTTATAAGATATTGTAGTTTTGCATGCTAAAAAAAATTAAGAAAACTAAGTGACAAGAAATAAAGTTAGCCATACATGCACGGAAGTTACCTAGATTCAATGGTTAATGGAGAAACTCGAGCACACGGAGTAGAAGATTACTGTGTTGTGTCAGTTATGTCTAGCATTTGTAAGAAATTTTGTTTTTCATTATAGAACAAAACACAAAATGTAAGCAACTTAGATGACAAGAAATAGAGTTAGTGTCTAGACTTGATTAACTCAATCAAAATCTTCAAGGTGGAGAATTGTTAAGGAAAGCACCTCATTGGTGGGTTCAATTGATAGTCTTTGTATTAATTGGTATTTAAGGGAGTTTGTCTCCCCTCCCCTTTTCAATCATCCCATATCCTCCACCATCCTTTTTTTTTTAAATGTACTTAACACTAATAAAATTACATTTTTAATTTCAAATATAAAACAGTTTAGGAAGAATTAGACTTTTTTAAGTGTTGGATAGGTATAGAAAAATCAAATGGTATACATATTCCATTTTCCTTTTTAAAATGCTGTAGAAATTGGGGAAAAAAAATAGTCTCTTTTAATGTTCTCGTAGTTGTTGAATTTTCTGTTTTCAAGACAGTGCGTTATTGTTTTATCCTTGAATACATAGAGAGAGAGAGAGATGTGATAATTTCTGATATTCTTTCGCATCTCTTGTTTAAGTTAAGCTTATGTTATGGTACTTAACAGTTAGACATAAACAAAACTTTATATTGATGTTTTTTCCTTATGGGGTGCTAGGTTATTGTCATGAGGGTTGTTCCACAAGTCAAATAGTCTCTGCAAACGAAGTTGAGTACTTGACCACGTGCAACCAATGTTACCATGCCAGATTACTTGCTCAGAAAGAAAATAGTAATGAATCTCCTACCAGTCCATTACTCCTACGAGGACGAGAAAATAACTCTGGAACAGTTTTGAAGAGATCAAGGCCTAGAACTCTTGATCAAGTACCGAAATCTTCCAAAACAAAGGCTAATAATCCCATGAAACAAGTTACTTCTGCGACGAGTTTGAAAAAAACAAAGGCTAAACGTTCTGAACAAGAACCAACTACTGGGATAAATGATAATGATCTTGACATGCAACAAGTTGCTTCTGTGGAAACTTCAGCTGCAAAACGCCATCGCAAAAATTGTTCTTGGGGCATTATATGGAAAAAGAAACATAATGAAGATTCAGACGATTTCATGCTCAGGAACATACTTTTAAAAGGGAGCTCAAACATACCAGGACTAAAACCTGTTTGTCACTTGTGTCGCAAGCCATATACGTCTGATCTGATGTATATTTGCTGTGAGACATGCCAAAGTAAGTTTTTTTGTAGTAAATAATTTATGAAATGTTAATGGTGATTATACTCTTTTATCTGATATGTTCTGCTTTTCAGATTGGTATCATGCTGAAGCTGTTGAACTTGAAGAATCCAAACTTTCTAGTGTGTTGAGCTTCAAATGTTGCAAGTGTCGAAGGATAAAATCACCTGTTTGTCCTTACTCTGATTTGAAGCCCAAGAAACAAGAGGGCAAAAGGTCACGCACAAAAGCAAAGAAAGAACATTCTGGAGCAGATACTGATTCTGGAGCAATCTCTGATATGAGAGAGTCTGAAGCTGCTACTCCCGTCTTTCCTGTATATGATGATACTCCCACCTATTCTGCGGAGGATCCTAGTTATGTCTTTCCTGATGAGGATCCTACTCCCGTCTTTCCTGTTGAGGATGATCCTCTTTTTTTCTCTCTCACAAGTGTTGAACTGGTAACAGAACCCAAGATAGAAGGAGATATGGAGTGGAATGGTGTCTCTGTGCCAGGGCTTCAGAAACTACCAGTGAGAAGGAATGTTAAGAACGAGGGTGATGATGTTTCTTTTGAAGGTGGTGTACCTTTGGATGCTGAATTCTCTACATACGATGGTGAGACGGGTAATCTGTCCAATCCTGCGGAGGAATCTATACCTTTAGAATACACCTCTGGTGTTGACTTAGACAACAAGCTGCCGAATGACTCTGAAAATGTAAATTACGATGATTACATGGATTTCGAACCCCATACCTACTTCTCTGTAACAGAATTGTTGCAGTCAGATGATGGTGGTCAGTTTGAGGGTGTTGACATGTCTGAGGACTTGTCAGGATATATGGAAAATTCTAGCACCACCACCCTTATTCCTGAATCGTGCGATGCTAGTTTGGCCGATAAGTCAGCACCTACGACTTACACCGGCCATAGTTGTATGCAATGTTCACAAATGGAACCAGCCCCTGATCTCTGTTGCGAGATTTGTGGGATTTTGATTCACAGCCAATGTTCACCTTGGGTTGAATTACCATCGCTTGGAAGTTGGAGGTGTGGCCATTGCCGGGAATATGGTAATAACTGATCTTTTGATTTTTGATAGTTCGCTTGGCGGCGACGCCGACAAATTGAGAAGTAATTTTGTGACAATCATGTAAGCTGGTAGAATGCTTAGCTCTGCGACCTAATAAGGGCATATGATCAGAGGTGTGTTTTTCAGCCTGCACTCGATGGTTTTCGTTGTTGGTATTTCGGCGGATTTTGTTCCCGAGTTACAGGGAATGCCTTTCCCATTTCAGTCCACAGGAAATTGCCCTGAACTCAGAGATAAGCAATTTTTTTTACAATGCTTCTCTGATACATTATTTGTATAGATTAAAAATTAAAATTCTCATTTTTTTGGAGTTCGGTCAAGTTAGGAACTTGTACCCAATTTAAAGCGAAGCTTTTATAATGCGTTCACATTCACTTCCGTGAATTGCTTAGGATTGATATTAACATGTAAATGGAGTGCGCTTGTCAGCATTATGAAGTGCTTTAGGGTATTCATTGCCGAACGAGACCTGTAATAGAGAACTAGCTCTGCGTCAGACTTGGGATAGTTGTGCTTTTTACTGTCACTGCGCGTACAAGTTTTTTGTTCGTCTGTTATGAAGCCGATGACTTTAAAAGCATTTTAAAGCAAATAAATATGTATTCTACACTCCCTACTATCCTAATGAAACTAATTTTTAAGAGAATGACAATACTGATGTTACAATTTGTACTACGAAACTATCTTTTACAAGCTGTACCACGAATAATTCAGTAAAAGAGCCATATAAGAAAATGACCACTGCTTGTACAATCACTGGCTTGAAGACCGTACTTGTTGAATTACGTGTGGTTTGCGAAACTAACATCAGTTCACCTCAATTTAGCCATATAACTAGCCCGCATTGCTCAAGGAGTGCTGGATTGTTGACCCATTGGATGTTCATCTTGTAAAACCAATACGATGACAATCAATTAGCAAAAAACAGCCTCTGCTCAAAGGAAAACAGTTTCGTATCTCACATCCTTGTCTGCATGCTTACAGAAAAGTACTGCTGTGCAGATAGATAGCAGGAAAAAAAATGGGAATACATAAATGTGCTTTATGTCAAATGGTAGTAGCTGTTGAATATGTTCGCCTGTTCAGGCAGTGGAATGGGTATAACTTCTCTAACGGGCAAAATCAACAAAATATGCAACATTTAATTAACTCACTCAAAATTAGTATAGCTGAATACAAACTTAAAGCAGAGACATACCACTTGTTGAAGCTTTAAAAAAGATGGTCCAGAAAGGGACCTCATCAGGGGAAAACATTTCAGTAGATATATATATGGTCTGAAGAAGCTTACTTAGGCAGATGGAAGACGAGGGTTTTTGACCTAGTCAAAAGGAAACAGGTGAGAATGAAGTCACATTTTGAACCCCGGGGGTTCATTATTGTTGCATGTAAATTGAAATTTTAAATCTTATATTACAATATTTGTGATATTTAAGTTTCCTCAGCAACAATGATCAGAATAACAAAATAACAATTTTCTGTCAACAAAAATTGCACTAAAACACCGACAAGACCTTCAAGCAAATCAATACGATAAAAGATCAGATTACATGCTAGTCATCATGAGATGTCTCAAGATAATGTGTTGGCCATCAATTCGGTTAGAGGGAAAAAATCCATTATTTGTCATGTTAGGAACATAAAACACAGTTTTAAATTTATGTACCATATTGTTTCAAATGGAGAAGTCAAGCAACCAAAAGAAAAATTTAAACAAAAATAGAAAGCAAAAGTCAGAGTACTACATAATGAGCCCTCCACTCTGCTTTAACACCAATCTGTTGCAAATACATAAATGTAGAAAACACTAAGAACACCAGATATCTACAGCAACCTTGAGCCTAGCTTAAAATAATGTTGTGACCATAATCGCAAATAACCAAATAAATGGGTAAACAGTGAATTTTGTCCTAAAAGCTAATGCACCATTACTTGGTTCCCTGAAAGAGTAATTTCTCTTTCTCTATCACTTCAGTATCGTTCTTAGAACCCTTACCTGATACACTTACTGTAATTTTGTTCCCTGAACATTGGCCTACTATCATTTTAGTCTCTGAATTTAACCATTTTAGTGCTTAAAATTGATCATTTACTATCATTTAGTTCACAAAAGCTCTTTTGAAATATCCAATTAGTCCTACAAGGGCAGCAAGTGGTTAAACTTAGGGACTAAAATGAAAATATATGGTTAAATACAAAGACTAAAATGACAGTAAGTGATTAAATTTAAGGAATAAAATGATAGTAAAAGAATGTTAATAAACGAGAGTGTTTAAGGACTAAAATAACAGTAAACGCTAAAATTCAGCAACTAAAATGATTGTAAGTGTATCAGGTAGAGGGCTTTTAATGACAGGACAAAAATTACTTCATAATCCTGTTTTCAATTTTAATACTTTCAGGGTCTAAAGAGACATTTTACCCTAAATTAAATTACAGAGTGAATATTTGCCTACTTCTAGTTAAACATCATATTGCATGGCCATACGTCAAAGTAAAAGTTTCAGATGCAAAAACAAAAGAATGGTAATATACAAAGGGACAAGTTCTCCTTTCAATAGGGCTAACATTAAGATACTACATGAGGGAGAGTGGTACAAATAATAAATGCTATTACATGACCACAAGGCCAAGTCCCAGAAAAGATTGACATATTTTCCCTATGGCACTGGTACGTTTCATTTTAACTAATAATATCACTGCAGAGAGTATTTATTGCCAATCTCAGAAAGTAATGATTTTCATTGACCAAAAGTGATGTTAGGATGTACCCAACTTGCAGCCAGCTGTTGCAAATTTGGCATTCAATCACCTCCATTATATTATCTGGCATTTCAAGATTATTCTGGGGGTAGCAACAAGTCATTATAGAATGTTTGTCATGAAAGGGTAAAATTTACCAGCTTTTTTGAATACTTGGGAGTAGATACTAGAGAAACAGCTTCCATGTGACAAAAATCCACATCACAGCCAAACATATATATGTAAAGAGGAAAAGTAGAAAATTAATACACATTTACTGAGACTTGAAACGTTATAAAAAAAAAAAGCAATTTCACCTGAAACGTTAAAATACCTAAAAGTTGTCAGTAAAGCCCGATAGTTTGTCATATGACATTCACAATCCCCTCCCACCATGAGATAAAAAGCCCCAAAACAAGTAAAAAACGTAAAGTTTATCAATCAGCCTTAAGCAGTCAGAATGATCACTTGAAGTAAGCACAAAAAAGTAACTGTAACTGCTTGAAAAGGATTTAACGGAATCTGAGGAAACTAGAATCATTGACCCTCTACTTTCAGAGTTTTAGGAACCAAATCCAGCAGTCAATGTCAACTACACCAAGGTTCCATTTGGAACGACTTTCTTCGGCACTTATTGGATAAGTACTTATCATGTAGACACTTGTGTATAAAATGCTTTAATAATCCAAGAGGAGATTTGGTTAACTTGTTTTCATCAGAACTTATTTTGAAATAAGATAAAAATTGCTCAGGGACATATCAATATAAACCATTTTCATAAGCTCTTCCATACACTTCAACTAGTGCATATGCCATAAGATAAGTCCAACTAAGCATTAAATAAACTATTTCAAAGGGATCCTAAAACCCAAGCACAAACTCACATTGTAAGTAATCTATACTAGCATTCCATATCATGTTGGATTAAGCAGCAAGATAAACTGATATTCAACTAATCACGGACCAAACAATACAACAATTGACAAATGGAAGGATGAGAGAAATTGCTGATCTGTCTACTTACTCCAAGAGACACAATGACGTTTATCTCACACCAGCACCAAATACTATTCAACTCATACATACATGTTGCCAAACATTGCAAAACAAACATTAACAACAATTCCCCGCACGACGACACGCACTGACATCACAAACTCCGAGAAAAAAAATCAAACGCAGGATTCGTTAAGTCGAAAATGCGGTACAGAAATCCTAACCTAATCGTTTATAAAACGCGTTAGGAAGTTGCCGAGTTTAGCCAACATGAAGGTTTCTGTCAAATACGAATGTCTCCGATGAAGACGGAGAGCCCTCTCATGCCAGACAACACCATCTACGATCAGATCCACCACCGAGATAGACGGGAACGCCGCCGTCTCCCTCATCTCCGGTGAACGCGTCCCCCCGGAGGCCGTGGATCTGCCAAAGAAAATGGAGTTTGATGAGATTCTGATTCAGCTCCCATTATGAAAGGAAAATGGCAAGAGAGACAGAGAGAAAGAACAAAATGGGAAGGAATGGAGTGAGTAATAACACATTATTACTATTACTGTAGCACCTGCAATTTTGCTTCATTATCATTATTTTTTCCTCACCTAATGATGATTTTACTTAACAGAACAAATATATCAATTAATGATTGATTATTAATTTTCTGATTAATTATCTTTGATCACTTTGTTAAGGATATAATATCTTGCCGGGATCATAGACAAAAAATTACACAATATCGAATTTCTATTTCAAACTCAGTATAATACAATATTTTTATCATTTCTATTACACTAATTTGTCATAATTCTATTATTAGAGTTTGATCACAAGTTATTGCATATAGGAAAAAGTTATAAGAAAAATAAGATTTATTTAAGGAAATAAATAATTTCCAACCATTGAATGTGAAATATATTAGTTAAACTTAAATAAAGGATAATTTTTAATCAAAAATTTAATTACTACTTAAAATAAAATAACTTAGCTTATAATTTTTTTTTATCTTTTTCTCTTGTTAAAACTTTTTTTTTATTGATCTTGGACTTATTTGTCTGGAATTAAATCCTCTGTCAATTGTGTTCCAATACTCAGTGTCTACTTAAAAATAACGCAATAAAATATCACTTTATTATAACTTATTTAAAGAATAGTGAGGATATTTTATCATATTCGATCACATTATACTTATGTTTATCTTATAATTATCGTGTTCCACTAAACTTAAAATATGAGGAGAATTATCGTGATGTTATCTGTAATTTGAGTATTTTAATTAAATTGAGTATTTTAATTAAATGATTCACGACCATTATTGATGACAATGTTGTTTAAATATGAAATAAATTGAAAATCATTCTTGATAGAAAAAAAAGATAACGTTATTTGTAATATACCAAAGGATACCAATTCACCTACTATAGTATTCTAATGTACTTCAATTACATTCCAAATTCATCTATATTACTAATACTACAATCCATCTTCCAAAAACATAACGTTATTCAAATATTGGGATTAAAATCAAAATAAAATCACAGCAATGAAGATTCCAAAAATGATAAATAAAAACAAAAACAAAGGTTATTTTAAGAAATTTCTCCACCACCTTCCATGTTTCTTTTTATAAAGAAGATTTGTAACAACATTCAGAATTTCATTAAACAAAAATAAGTATACTTAATCTATAGATATTTTTTGAAATATATATATATATATAATCAGACTCATCATTCAAGATAATTACTAATCAAATACATTAGCAGTTTAGAATATTTTAAAAATGGAGTTTCTCATAACTATGTTCATTTCAACTGTTAATCAAGAGTCCTAATTAAACAAATATTATTTAGTTTTCAAAGTCTTGACTCACTTTTAAAACTATTAGTTTCATATACATTTATCACTCCTCATGTGTATTAATAATATTTGGGTACGAACATTCTGTACCCACTATCCGACCTACAATAAAAAAAAAATCACATGTTACCTAATCCATTATTTATTGAATATCTGTTTAAAAAATATTCATTAATATTTTAAAAATCATAAATATATGTAGATACTCACAAATAATTAAAAAAAATTATAAATCTTTAAAATAAAATATAAATAAAATTACAAAAACAGATATATAATAGGTTTAATCATTTCGAATGTCCCTATTTTTGCAGAATCGTCTCAACTAGGTTCTTGTATTTTTTTTATCTCACTTAGGTCCCTATTTATGTAAAATTGAATCAATTGGAACCTTGCCGTTAATTTTAATGAACGACGTTAAAATTGTAGTAAAATAGGATACTGACTTTGTATGTGTGAGACAAGTGGCAGAGTTACGTGAAATTTAATTATTTTAAATTTTAAAAAACTATCCTCTTCCTCTTATGAGAAGAACCAAGAATCAGATAGCAAGCCAGAAACCCTCAGTTCGAGAGGCGAATATCAAACTGCAATCATCAACCTGCAATGGAACAACCAAATCTCAATAACATCCAAAACCGCAATAATCAAAACCCTCAAAATCTCCAACCGAACCCTCGCTGCAAAACGCATAAGCCCTCATCGTCGATCTACAAGGAAGAAGAATCCCAACCAAATTTCGAATACAGAGGGAACCTAGGATTTCCCAAATCAATTTGAAGTGAAAACCCTAATCTCAGTTTGCAAAAATCAGGTATCGGCACAGAAACCTCTACGGAACCCAATCAAAAACAGAAGAAAAGGAGGAGAAGGAAGCTTCCTCCTTGCCGCGAATCAGAACAGAGGGAAGAAGAATAACAACTGCCAACGTGCCTCCGACGCCTTTCCATCGCGCCTCGGACGCCTTTTCGTCGCTCCTCCGCCGCGTCTTCGCGAGATCACCCCCTAAGCACGAGCCAAGGATGGTTTTTCCCAAGGTTGGGTGGTCCGCGAGATTAGAGAGAAGAAGAAGCTTGAAGCTTCTAGTGGCTCACATAAAAGAAAAAGAGGACGGACTGGAAAAAAAAACAGGTTTCTAAAGCTAGCCAAGGCTGGGTTTTCCAGATTCTAAAAATACAAAGTCTGAACCTTTATTTGAGTTCTCTGTGGAAAATTAGAATCAGAAATCCAATTTTAATCTGATGAAGAAATTAATTAGGAATAGAAATTAATTTGGTTTTTGCTGCCATCCAGAACATGGCATTCATTATGCAGCATTTTTCATTATTGGATTCCGCTTATACTGAATGGAGATGCGTGTGCTTACAGAAATTAATTTAGTTTTTTCTGGTTTTTAGGAATACATATACTAGCTATTGAAGAAGTTTCAGTCATTCATAAGAGAGGAAGAGGATAGTTTTTAAAAATTTAAAATAATTAAATTCCAAGTAACTCTGCCACATGTCTCACACATGCAAAGTCAGCATCCTATTTCACTACAATTTTAACGCCGTTCATTAAAATAAACAGCAAGGTTCCAATTGATTCAATTTTACATAAATAGGGACCTAAGTGAGATAAAAAAGAATACGAGGACCTAGTTGAGACGATTCTGCACAAATAGGGACATTCGAAATGATTAAACCTATATAATATAATATTAATTAAATTAAATATAAATTAATATTTAATTTTAATTAAATTTAATAGAAAATATAAATTAATTTTAATTTTCATCAACTTAACTTAATAAAATATAAATTAAATTTTAATTTTAATTTGTTGCGGTAATGGATACTCATGGTTACAGGTAGAATGATACTCGCACTCGACCCGTTTATAAATAGTTATTAAAATACTTGTTACCCGCGAGTAATAAATGCCCTATAGATACCAACTATCCTTCACAGATTTTATCTGTAGATACTCGTGAACCCAAGTATTTTTGTCATCCTTAGATAATACGATCATTACAATGAAAGAACAAAACAACATACCAACCAAAATATCAAGATGAGCTAATGTTTTTAAAAGAGAAGAGAAAGAATAAAACCAAAATGAGAAAGTCTCAAAAATAATTTAAATATCAAACATGTACTAAATCAGTAATTTAATCAAACAAATTTCACCGTACATTCATTTCCCTTACATACGGCCAAAATCCGTATGTAAGGTCCAAAATTTGTATGTAAAATAGTGTTACATTTTGATTACATACGGACAAAAATCTGTCTGTAAAATGGTCGTAGGTAAGTTACATACGGATATATCCGTATCTAAGTTACATACGGATAAATTCGCACGTAATGTTTGTATGTAATTGTTAAGAAAATCTCACGATACACACTCAGATATTTTTCTGAAATTGAGTCTTGTTATTCATTGATAATTGAAGGCTTTAAATAGCCATGACACTTACAATATTACGGGAATAAAAATAAAATCTGAAAATAAAATATCAACTATCTTAAAAATAAAATTTATTTAATCTACATAAAATAATATTGTACCTAGATAAACCGAAAATCATAACTATGTATTCCTATTTTATCTCTATTAAATCAAATTAAATATTATTAGACCCAAAAACTAATAAAATGAGATTTAAACAAAATAATTAATAAAACCCTAAAATTTAAGTTTATCCCAACAAACTCTCACATAAACTTAAATTCTTCCTTCCTTCATTTGGCTTTCCATGTACATTATCCCACACCAGGTTTGCTTCTTTCAATCAGATTTGAGTTGAAGTTATCCAAGTTCTTGCTAGTCATACTTTGCTTCAAACATCTTCTCTCCAAGATTTTCAGCTTTAGCTCATACAACCGGTTTTTCTTCGCTTTTGCTTGGGTTGCTAGACGACCATGCTTATCCTTTAAATATAGTACATGATCCTTCATAAAAATTGAATTACCTTTTTCAATTATCTAACTCATGCTTAAAATATTGATCTTCAGCTCTGGAACATAGTAAACATCCTTAATCTCTCCAACTCGTCCATTCTTCTCATATGTCGAATTGTTCCACGCCCTTTCACGGCCACCTTGGAGTCATCTCCGAAAGACACAAATTTGGCCTCTACCTTGGTGAGTTTATCAAAAAATTTCTTATTCCCACACATATGATTGCTTGCCCTAGTATGTAGATAACATACCGAGTTGGTAGAAATCTCATCAATCTTTGATTTCAATCATGGTCCAACATTCGCCTTCTTCAGCTCCTCAAGCTCAACCCTTTGTTTATTCATAATCTCATTAGCTTCATCTAGAAGCCTCCCTATCCGCTGAATCTCTTCATCTTTTTGTTTGAGTTCTTTCTCCAGGATTTCGTTCCCCACAATTGTTGCATCCTTTACCGAGATTACTTCACCCATTGTTGGGATTGGGATTGGGCTCTCCATGTCCATTGCATTCAAGCTCTTTGTCATTAAAAAAATTCCAAACTCTTATTCTGCATCTTCAGTAACGAGATTAGTCTCTTCCTTTATCTCGGTCTTGCAATACTTTGTAATATGGCCAGCCTTGCCACACTTGTAGCACTTGCTTGATCTACACTCGTTTGCATAGTGGTCATACTTGCCACCCTTAAAACATTCAACTCTTGACCGATCTCCTCGGTCTTTCCCTTGTCCTCGGCCATGTCAATTATGTTGACCGATTTGCTCTTCTCTATCATTCTCAAAATTACCTCGGCCACGTCCACTTCATCCTCGGCCTCCTCCCCGTC